CCCCCCGCCAAAGCCCTCAATGAGATTAATGAGCCCTTCGGGTTTATAATAGAAATCAGTCAAAAAGGCAAGACCTCTGTTTATGACAGGGTCTGATTGCAGTCCTGGACCTTAAAGACTTATACTTTACTATGGCTGTGACAAAAGAATTTACCCAAATCATTTAGTGAGAAGCAAGGCTAGTTTTATGGTGGTTTTATTATTTTTTTCTTGTGTACTGCTTTTAGAGATTTAAGATTTTCATGGGAATGTGTTTTGCAGTTCCTCTGGAGATTCAGAATGTTTGGATGGTATGTCATGAGAGGCAGGAAAGAAAGGAAAACTCAAGCAACTGAAGAGATCATAATGCAAAAACAAACTTGGTCTGGGGTGATGGGAACATTTACTGGGACTTCACTGTAGGCTAGAAATATGCTGCTTTCCTAGAAGACCAGTAAGTTCACCAGGATTTGTTATGAAACACTAGATGTAAACTGATTAACAAATCTTGTAAGGTCAACAAGGTTTTAGTTTTTCCTACTATGAATCTCACAGTACAGAATGTCTAAGAATGATACTTCATATTAAGTAGAAAAAGCATATGAGATAATCAACAACAAATGACCTTTAGTCTGATCCAATCTAAACTTCCTAATAGCGTAGTTATGGAAAAATTCGAGTCCCACACAGTAATACAATGAGAACAAAACAGTTATAGTCCAAGTTGTCATTTGGACATAGGAGACAGTGCGTGAGAAACCATACAGAACTGTTTGCAATTTAAAAATCAGCTGCTCAGCAGCATACAGCTCCATATATTCCCTGACTGCTTCAAAACTATTTCGGCTGAGTCAAGAGTGACTGATAGTATTCAGCATGACTATGTGGAATTCAGACATATCCAGTAAAATAGGAAAAGCTTTTAGGGAGTGTTTGAATGCTGCCATCCTTTGCTGTGCAGCAAAAGCCTATTGAAGAACACACTCACACAAAATAAATGAACATAAATGCTTACTTCCCTAAACCAAGTGAAAATATCTAATCATAGAAATCATATATATTTGTAGACACAGAAAAAAAAAATCACGAGCAAGTGTATTCCTTTCTTATATTAAAGAATAAAACAGTGCACAACTGCACAATACAATTCCTTTCATGTAAGCACATAAAGAGTCATTAAAAAATATGCCTGGAAAGGGGACCACAAGAGATACTCCATCTTTCTGCTTACCAGGACAAGATCAACCATAAACATGCTTCTGAGATGCTTATTTAGCCTGTTTTCAAAGATTTTTAGTGATAGAGTTCTTCTCCAACCTCCCTATAAAATTTCTGTTCCAGTATCTCCCCTCACAGAGGTTTTTTCCTTAATGCTTAACCTAACTTTGCTGTGCTTTCATCCTATTAACTCTTGTTCTTTCCTAAGGGAACATGAAGATCCCATCTTCTTTACAGCAGCCTTTAATGTATTTGCAGACTCTTATTATGTCTTTCCTCAACCTTCTGTAGACAATTGTTTCAACCTTTTCTCATAAGTCCTGTTTTCCAGATATCTGATAATTTTAATTGCTTTTCTCTGGACTCCTAATCCACATCTTTCTAAAAGTAAAATGTTGAAAATATTCCAGCTGAATTTTTACCAGTGTCACATGAAGCAAAAGGATTACTTCACATTTCATGCTTTCCAATTCAATATTCTCTCAACTTGTCTGTAGTATAACTCTCAAATCTCTTTCTGAAAAACTACCTATCACTGCTAATCACAACTTTCATCCCAGTCAAAAACTCTTACAATAGGCCTCTACTAAAAAATGAAGAAACATATTCTCTATCCCATCATACTGGTTATTAATGAAAATATTGGAAGATGTCAGTCCCATCACAAAACTTATGGTATGCCATTTAGTGTATCCTTCCATCTTGATACTGATACACAGGTAGGTACTT